GCACTATGCTACAAGCCGGAAGGTAACGGATTCGATTCCCGATAGAGTCACTGGATCTTTTTCAATTGACCTAATCCTTCCAGCCGTATTATGGCCATGGGGTCGACTCAGCCTCTAACAGAAATGAGTACTTACTTACTTACTTACAAATGGAGGTGAGCCCTTCTGGGGGAGCTGTCAATTCTGCAGCTACTCAAGAATTTTCCAGCATTTTATGGAACCCGAAGGTTCATCACCGTGTTCACAAGAGCCCTCCAATGGTCCCTATCCTGAGCCAGATCTATCCAATCCATACCATTCCATCCTATCTCTCTAAGCTCCATTCTAATATTGTCCAGCCACCTACGCCTTGGTCTTCCCTGTGGTCTCTTTCCTTCTGGCTTTCCCACCAATATCCTATAAGCATTCCTCGTCTCCCCCATTCGTGCTACATAACAGAAATGAGTACCGGGAATATTCTTGGGGGTAGAGGGCGGCCGGCGCGTAAGGCTGACAACATCACCGTCATCTGTCTAGAGGAAATATGGGAGCCTCGACGTCTCACAACCCTATGCGCCTCCATGGCCTGTTACAGGGATACCTTTACCTTTTACGTTTTTTACCCAAACTACATTGTCTTTGAACGTAAAAGAAACATTTACACACTTAAATCGTATTTAGCCGACATTCCTTATTGGGAAAACAATAAAAAGAGGCTTATGAGATCATCTTGCCGTCTGCATGTCTCTGTATTCTCCCCCTTTCTCATTTACTATGCGGTCCGTGTCTTATCGAACAAAAGCAATCAATTATTTTTCCCCAGAACTTACCGTTTTCTTTTCACTATTGTTTCTAACTTCATTCATCATAAGAAATTTTGGGTGAAAATTATAATTAACGCTTTTCATACCATCAATAAACATTTCAAACCCTTGATTCCTTCACCGTAACCAGTACTGATGATTTCTGATGTATTTTGTACGTTCACCGCGACCATAGAAGCTAATGACTTTTTATTTTCCTTTAAGAATCACTTACAAAGATGGCCGCGCCATAGCTCAAGCGGTTAGTCCCTGGCTTCTCACCGCGTCGCCCCGGGTTCGAGCAAGTGGGATTTGTGGTGGACAAAATAGCGCTGGGGCGGGTTTCCTCCAAGTACTTCGGTTTCCCCTGCCGATCTTCATTCCCCCAAATTCTCCATCATCATAATCACCCGGGGCAGGCTAGAATAAGCCAATCAGTGGCCGACGTGCCGAATGGACCCAGTTGAACTCCACCCCCCAATAAGCGAATTTAAAAAAAACACTTACAAGTGGTACCCAGACATTTTAAAGCTTCAGTGAGAAACACGAGTGGCCTGTACAGGGGCAAAATACTGTAATCTTTGCGATCCTATTTATATGCTGCCTCATATGAAACCGATGTTTTCCTCTCTTTATCGGCATTCAGATGACTAAGCCACACAGATATCATCAGCTTAATCACAGCTGCCGTTTATATTTCAAGTGTTTCTTCCGGCATCTTCAGTGTGCAGCTTACGAACGGAGCCACTCATCTGTGATTTCTTTCAATGCGATGATGAATATGCTTTATTGTTGGAACATAACCCAGATGGCAGCACGTCACAGCACCGTGGTGATGGCATTCAACACGTGGGAATTGTCTCTCAAACCTCGTCACGTGATCACAGAGGCTTCAATGGTGTCAGACCCACTGTCTTCACAAGATCCCTTATATTATGTTTAACCTGAATGAAAGAGAGTGCTTAGAAGATCTAGTTGTAGATAGAATTTCAATGCATCTTACAGATGTCAGATGTTTGTGTATGGACTGGATACATCCGGTCAGGATATGCACCAATGACTCTTTTCCGTACAAACGGTACCTCGTATTCTTGCTGTGAATTATTGAGATGTGACAAGCTGGACAACTATCAACTTCTTAGAAATGACTGGTATGGAGTTAAGTAGAGCTTACTCCCGTTTCTGAAGGCCCCGTATTCGATTCTAAGCTGGAGGTCTGACAGTTATGACTGAGGAGTTTCCTGGATTTGTTCTGTCCCTTAAGAAAATGCGACTGTTTCCTTCCAAATACTTTCCAATTCATCATTCGCAACTATATAAGTTAAGCTCTGCACTATGCACAACTCCATTAGTGCGTATGTGGGGAGTGGAGGTAAAGCTTCACGCTTTCGGCACTTCTGACACCAATAAAGGGAATTCAGTAATCATGGATAGGAGAATGTGTCAAGTTACGTGAAAGGTATAGTGTTCTGGGTTGTAACGCCGTGTAGTCTGGAGACATAGGGACATGCTGCCTCCGTCTTCACTGCCGGGGTGTAACAGAAACTCTTCCAGCCGTCTGCCTTCTGATGTCCTCTTGCCTGGTTTACACTTCGACCCTGCACATGCAGAAAACATATTCCTCCGAACTGCCAGGCTCTCCCCGAATAACACGGTGTGGTTTTTTCCAATTCCTCCAGGCAAACTCCTTGACATTACTTCGATAAGGTCAAGACCGCCACCTTACAAATCCTTTCTAATTCATTATCATCCTACCAATAGACACTATACAGTATAAATCATAAAATTTCCCGATGATGTCACTGGATTTTTAAATTGACCTAATCTTTCCTGTCGCATTATGGGGTCGACTCAGCCTTTAACAGAAATGAGTACCAGGCATCTTCCTTGGGGTAAAGAGCGGCCGGCGGGTAAGGCTGACAACCATAGCGCCATTTGTGAGAGGACTGCCTGGAAAATGTGGGAGCTTCAGCGTCTCACAACTCTACGGGCCTCCGCGGCCTGTTACAGGGGTAGCTTTACTTTTAACATCTAAGGCTGCGAATTCTTTAAAGTTACTATGAAAACTAATGTTACTTCATCGAATTCCCACTTTCGTTGAACATATTCTTTTGTAACATCAGGAACTAGTGTTAAAGACTTCCTTTTGCAAAATGTCTATTATAATTTGTATGTCCTAACTAGTTCTTTCTGTAATATATTGTCAGGATCTGAACTATGGACCTGCGGCGTCCAATTATAAAGGAGTAGGGAAAGGAGTAGGGAAAGAAGTAACTGTAGCCTACTCGAAGTGCTATTCCAGAATCTCTGCAAGGACTGAGGAAAATTACGACAAACCCCCAGTTAGAATGTCCTGGGTCCCTGTCGACATCCCAACCGACCAATTCACGAAAGCAAATCTAAATCATTACAGTTAGGCCAAGCTGCCTGATTTTTAAATACTGGAATGAAGCTGAATAGCTTATTAAACCTATTTCGGATTTAACATAAATGTCATAAAATATGTGATAGGTGTTTAGAGAAAACTGCATAATTAGGAGCTTCATAACTTGTACTCTTCTCCAAGTATAATTAGAATGATCAAGTCAAGGAGGATGAGATGTGTATGACATGTAGCACGAATGGAGGGGAGGAGGAATACATATAGGATATTGGTGGGAAAGCCAAAAGGAAAGAGACCGCTGGGAAGACCACGACATAGGGTGGGTGAACAATAATAAAACGGATCTTAGAGAGATAGAATTGGAGGGTAGAGATTGGATTGATCTGGCTCAGAATAGGGACCAGTGGAGGGCTCTTGTGAACACTGTAATGAACATTCGGGTTCCATAAAATGCTGGGAAGTTCTTGAGTAGCTGCATAATTGGCAGCTCCTCTAGAAGGGCTCAGCTCCGTGAGTGAGTAAGTGAGTCATGAAACATGTAATAACTGAATTCTGTTTATAGTCTGCAAAATGATGTTTATCAAATAAATTTGTTAAGGTCCTTATATTGATTACTTTTAGGAAGAAAACCAGGCATTTTTAAATTCTGTGAAATGTTCAGCTGTCATGAAAATTATTAACAAAGCCGGCCGGTGGCTGACATTAGAAGCATAGGGAACATAATCCCACTGATATGTCGTACCGAAACATTCATTCCTTGCTGCTAAATTTTCCACTTGTCACGCATTTTCCACGACTTCAAGACTGAAATTTGACTGTGCATATTGCCAAGCAGAACACAAGTTATCACCTATTTAAATACCTGACCTTCAGTCGGTACTGTCCCCTTAACCTGTTTCTTAACTTGAAAATTCAGTAAATCGTTTCTAAATATTCTATTTGCATTGTTTTCGAATCCTGCGCTTTCACATTTAACTTTTCATTCTACAATTGCCATCCAATGAAATATACGCTTATAATCACGGTAGGGGCGGCGCCACAGCTCAAGCGGTTAGTCGCTGGCTTCCCACCGCGGCGGCCCGGGTTCGGTCAAGTGGGATTTGTGGTGGACACAGTGGCGCTGGGGCAGGTTTTCTCCGAGTACTTCGGTTTCCCCTGCCAATCTTCATTCCACCAATTGCTCCACAATCACCCTCACCTATCATCTGGGGCTGGTACAATAGGCCAGAAGTGGCCGCAGTACAAGGGACTTAGTCCCACCCCACTAGCAATAAAAAAAATAATCACGGTATCCCATTTTAGTCATTAAGTTTTGAGGTTAAAATCTGTCATATTTAATCCTTATTTCGTCTACATCCTAAACATTACCACTGTAGTTTATACAGAGTTATACAGAGTATAGAGTTAAAATGAGGTGACTTTCCGCTGAATGTTCACCGGACATTGTAAAGATTATAACAGACGGTTATACTGTAACTATGGCAACAACTTAATCCGGGTGAGATCCGGCGAACTCGGTGGCCAAATCACTGCACCGAGATGATCGAGCCATCGGCCAGGGAACTGTTCATTCAGAAGCCGTGTCACGTTTCTACTACAACGCAGAGATGCTCCGTCATGCCGTTAGAACATCAGCAATCCTTTTCTCAGAGCAGCTTTCTTTAAGATGGCCGACACACGACCACACACGCATGCGCTACACTTCAAATACCCATAGCTCCGAAACCGTTGAGAACAGAGCCCATTTTTTACTCAAAATTACTTAAGGAATCATCTGCTGAAGTTATGATATAAATTCAGGGTACAGCCTGTATTCAAAACAATATTGTTTGCAGGTGGAGGAGGCTACCATTAACCATGAACCACCGGATGGATTCCGGTCACGTGAACATCGGATTCTCTGCGAGTGAGGAGTTCGATGGCAGCATACACTTCGACACACAGCATTACGATGAAATCGACTTGGGCGTTAAGGAGGTAACCCTACAAGCATTCTTCTTGTGAAGTGTAATGCAATGAAGCTTTAAAAATGACGTAAATTTAATCGCTTCTACTGAGATATTTATGTTTTACGGGGTTTTCTTTATTCTGGTAAAGCCAGGCTCTAAAATATTGTCACGTATCCAGTGTTCCGTGGCTAACAACGGGTTCTGGACTGGATTATTGGATTTATTAACACCTTATAAAATGAAATCGTACTTGTAAGCAATATGGCGCTATCGCTGATCTACACAATTTACAGTTCACCGTTACGCACTAGGATTCTCAGTCTTCACTAGCCGTATCCTTGTAACGGAATTAAAATAGTCTCACTGTTACTAAAACTTCTAATCACATACTAAAGTCTTCACAGGCTGTTTTCTAATTCTTCTTCAACTATTAACTTCCCGTGGTTATCTCTTATCTACAACTGCTTCAATTATCGTTCCCGTTCTACAACTGACTCTTACTCGTCTGTAGTCCTACAGCTGCTAGCTTCTGAATTTGGCTCTCTTATAGTTCCTAAGCACGGACCACGCAGCAGAGAAATCACAGCACCGCAATTGTTCTAGAGGAGCGTTACCACACCGTTGCCTAGCAAACAGTCTCGGCGCGGACCACATAGAAAACACCTTTCATTCTTGTCGCGTATTATTATAGAAGCATGTTTATATTCCGATGCCCAGCACATGGTATCTTTTATTGTCGCCTATTGTTGTACGTATTACCCAAGAACGGTTGTTTATCAAGAATCTGCCTCAGCGGGAACGTGTATATAGAGCCGTTGCCTAGTAGTGGGTCGATACGACATAATATTTTCATCTGTTACTAAATCGTCACCATACTTGGCATGAAGTCGTTAAAAGTATACCCTACGTACAGGTTACAGAGACTTTATGCGTAGAGGGAGCTCATATTTCGCTTGCTCTTGTCTGAAACCAAATATGCATGAAACAAAAGAGTCATGAAATATATTCTCAGTTATTACACTCGGGAGCGTCTGGAAACCAACGTCAGACTCCAGAGGGGAAGTACGTCTGTCGGGGCACGTACTGACCTGAGATGAGTGCAGAAACAGACGAACGTAAAGCGTAAAGACAGCCGTATTCTCCTTAAAAACATCAGAATATTGGCCAACTTTGTGGCTCACACAGGATTTGAGGTTATCACAGCGGTGGTTATGAAGAATTCTATATTCTGGGATATAAAGCAAAATATATATATATATATATATATATATATTNTGGAAGTATAATCGATGACCCTACTGAGATTCGAAACGAGGACCTCCCGATAGAAGTCTAGAGCGTCACCGCTACTTTAATCCGTTCGTTCCTTATCCAATTCGATATTCACTATCGTCAAATCATTTGAAATTACAGTCAGATCAACTGACATGAACGGTAAAGGAACTACCAATAAAAGAACTTTCTAACTTCCACGTTTACTTCCATTCCACACACTTTCTTGTTTCCTTCTTCCTAATATAAGGTAAAAAGAAAAGGGTAAAGCTATCCCTGTAACATGCCGTGGAGGCCCATACGGTTGTGAGACGTCGAGGCTCCCACATTCTCTGGACAATCGGCTCACAGATGGCCGTGAGGTTAAGTAAAGCTATCCCTGTAGCAGGCCGTGGAGGCCCACGGGTTGTGAGAGGTTGAGGCTCCCACATTTTCTATACAATCGCCTCGCGGGTGGCGGTGAGGCTGTCAGCCTTACGCGCCCGCTGCCCTTTACCCCCAGGAAGATTCCTGGTACTCATTTCTGTTAGAGGCTGAGTCGACACCATGGCCATAGTGCGGCTGGAAGGATTAGCTCAATTAAAAAATCCGATCTCATAGGGAATCGAACCCGCGACCTTCCGGCTTGTAGCATAGTGCCTCAACCAACTACTCCACCACGTGCTCCTTTCTAATGCATGTACATGAGAAGCCAGTATTCAGACATGGCAGGAGTATGGTTGTGCAGCTACTCATTGCTGTTGGAACCGACATGGCTCAGTCGGTATAGCAACTGTTCTGTAGGCTGGACGTCCCAGGAATAGGGGTTAGGTCTCTCCCATGGCATCCAATCAGACTCCGGGGCTCAACCAAATTCGTATCCAATGAGTCTGCATTGTGTGGTAAGGTAAAATTATCTATATGCTTAACTAATTAAGCACTACGCCATGAAGGCATATGGGAGAACGGTAGTTTTCTTGACCTCAGCACTAGTTTGAGGTGAGTGGACAGCTTTACGTCACGGCCGCTTTACCACCCGAGAAAGAGCCCCCAGTACCCATTAGAAATGAGTCTGGGTGGGCTCCAGAACCGGTCTTGACGACGTGGAGAGGATAAAAATCTTGCTCCAACCGGGGCTCGAACTCTGATCCCTCTTTCGTCCATCCCATCCATTTTACCTTTACCTTCATCCACTCTTGCTTTTACTGTTACTGTTTTGTCAAACCGAAATCCCAATAGCTGTTATGAAACGGAGAGCTGCGGAGTTTTCGCTAGTTTATGAATTAGACGCAGAAAACTGCCTCATGATAACACTGGGGCCCGGAAAATTCGAAGAATTTACTTCCTCCGCTTCAAGACGGAGAAGTAGAATTCCAGATACCCTAACAGGAATGTATGCTCTGTAGACGGGCAAAAAGCAGGATGTGGGGGAGGGGGTGCATGTACCTAGTATCAGGTTCCTCTCAAGATATTCCTCGCCCTAGGGAATGCAAATATTGCATCTTCTAGTCTGTAGATACTTCTAGAACTACGCTCCTAAACAGCCTACATCCATACACATTTACACCTGGCTTCTGATGTGCGACAGAAGTAAAGAAAAATAGAGACAAGAAGTTGTGGGGCAGTGGTTGCAGCTGGACTGTGACAGGTTGAGAGGGTAAAGTATTGTAAATAAGATCTTGTTATAACCCATATTCGCAGTAGAATCGTTATCTCAGTGGGCTTGACTACATCTGATATGCACCCTGTGGAGAACGGCCTGGTGATACATTACAAGGACCATGCTATCTGAGCAGGGGCAATCATGGTAGGAAAATTAGGAACACAAAGCAAAAGATAAGATATCGAAAAATATTCCTCTGTAAATAGGAGCATCCAGCTCTGGAACCAACTACCTCTGTCCTGTAAATCAAGTAATTTTAGGAAAAAGGTTAGGAAAGTGAAGGTGTGGTGGAAGTCATGCAATAATGCAGTGAAGTGAAGTGAAGGGAAGTAAACTGTGTTGAGGATGTGAAGAGTACGTAAGTGTAGTGTAGTGAAGTGAAGTGGTGAAGTAAATTGTGTTGGGGATGTGAAGTGTACGTAAGTGTAGTGAAGTGAAGTGGTGAAGTAAATTGTGTTGGGGATGTGAAGTGTACGTAAGTGTAGTGAAGTGAAGTGGTGAAGTAAATTGTGTTGGGGATGTGAAGTGTACGTAAGTGTAGTGAAGTGAAGTGGTGAAGTAAATTGTGTTGGGGATGTGAAGGGTACTTAAGTGTAGTGAAGTGAAGTGAAATAAATTGTGTTGAGGATGTGAAGGGTACGTAAGTGTAGTGTAGTGTAGTGTAGTGTAGTGAAGTAAATTGTGTTGAGAATGTGAAGGGTACGTAAGTGTAGTGAAGTGAAGTGAAGTGAAGGGAAGTAAATTGTGTTGAGGATGTGAAGGGTACGTAAGTGTAGTGTAGTGTAGTGAAGTGAAGTAAATTGTGTTGAGGATGTGAAGGGTACGTAAGTGTAGTGAAGTGAAGGGAAGTAAACTGTGTTGAGGATGTAAAGGGTACGTAAGTGTAGTGAAGTGGAATGAAGGGAAAGTCATGATGAAATATAAGTGCATCTTCTCATGACATTATGTATTCCATTACTGTTACTGTTTAGTGTACAGTATGTTTATTTTTATTAACATTAATATATATAATTCTAGTTGTAATGGCATTTGTTGTAGTGTATTTGTATTGTATTCACTGTGTGTAGTGTATCCTTAATTGTTTGTGTAGTTTTGTCTTGTGTTATGTGTGATGTGTGTTATTTGTGTGTTGTGTCTTATTGTAGTACCACTGCCACCGGGTAAACCCCTCATTTTCAGTTAAAATAAATAAATAATAATAATAAATATGAATCCGGACTGTAGGAGGAGTGTTTCTTTTCAAAGCTTAGCTTTACAAGGCACCAGACATTTGTCTCTACAGAGCCTGGCTGACGGGCCTACACGATAAATAGGCACTACTGTAACTAACAAACTATCTGTAGCAGAAGGTGACAGCTCGAAACAACCAACAGACGTACCAAGGTCTACACAATATAATAATAATTCTTGAAGGTTATTTTACAAAACTTCCAATATGTTTACATATATATACACTATACAGAGACGAATGGTAAGACAATTGATGAGTGTTGAATTGTAAACGATTTGGAAGTAGTCGTAACACAGGTGAGGTCAGTCCGTGATATAGCTCAGGCGGTTAGCCGCCGGCTTCTCACCGTGGCGTCCCGGGTCTAAGCCCACGTCAGGACATTTGGATATTTTTTCTGGGCAAAGTGGCACTGGGGTAGGTTTTCTCCGAGTACTTCGGTTTCCCCTGCCAATCTTCATTCCACCAATTGCTCCACAATCACCATCATCTATCATCTGGGGCTGGTACAATAGGCCAGTAGTGGCCCACGTACCAACTGGACTCAGTCTCACCCCCATCTGTGAGTCGATTTTCTAGAAACGTGGGAGCTTCGACGTCTCACAACCGTATGGACCTTCATGGCCCCTTACAGGGATAGCTTTACCTTTCATTCATTCAATCAATCATCAATGACTCTACAGCACTTTGCTCGGCCCTGGCCTCTTCTTTAGTTTCCTAATCTTTTTTACGCACACCGTAGGACTCCTCGGACGAGTGATCAGCCCGTCGCAAGGCCGCTACCTACACACAGGACAACACAAACACAGAATAAACGCAGACACAGGCATCCATGCCTTGAGTTGGATTCGAATCCACGATCTCGAGAAAGCGAAGACAGTTCATACCTTAGGCCGCTCGGCTACCGTGACCGGCAGTGTATAAGAATAATATATAAGAATTCAGTCCGTACCTCACAGGAAACAGATCCGAACCCACGATCCCGTCTTCCGAGAGAGCGAAGACAGTTCATGCCTTAGACCGCGCGGCTACTGTGATCGGCAGCTTTGTCTTTACCTTATCTAATTCAATGAGCCTAAGTTCTTCTTGAGAAGGTGACAGTTGCTCAGCTACTCAAGAATTTCTTATTCCTTAAAACAAAGCCGAGTTTAATTTAAATTAAAGGAAAACTACTAGTCTGCCCAGCGTCACATTTCCACAGCGTCGCAATAATTGCGAAAACTAGTTTCACCAAACTACTGCAGAGAAATACCTCGTTTGCCACATGTGGGCTTAATGCGAATGGAGGTTGTAAATTATACGAAACTGCTGACTTCACGGATAATTAAATTAGATGCTGGGTTTGAGGTTGCCACAGCGCTACGTAGAATACGATTTTCTGGATTATAATGCCTAATAGTTCCAAGAGGGACCTAAATTTGAGAGGTACATACCGCCTCCTTCTTCAGGATCGAAGGTAAATAAAGTAGTGAGAAATATCTTTATTGGTTGCATCCTCTTGTGTGTTCCAGATATATATAGGAATTAGGTTAACCGTCAACACAACAAATATACTCGCTTTTTAATGTTTTACAATTCAAAATTTTATACCTGCTACATGTTTCGCTCGCACAAGACCATCATCATGCAGTTACGTACTTATAGGAATAAAACAGATGGTAAGCGAAGCAAGTTCGTCCGAAACGTCAGGATTTCTATAATTATGTATAATTATGTAACCGAAAAAAAAATATATTCACTCGGGAGTACGGAATTTGGACTTCGTCCATCATCTAACATTCCAAAAGAATGAAACATTTCGGAAACTGGATCTGTTTCTGTCATCAGGTCAAATTAGTGGGAAGTCACCTGCTCAGCTGGGACCGTTATATATAGCTGATCTCCAATCCAGTTTCCGAAACGTTGTGATCTCCTGGAATAGCAGACAATGAACACAGCAAAGGAAGTCAGTGATTCAGAGGGTAATACGCCATTTCAAGGACATTTTAGAACTGACAAGTGATATTCAACAAAATCCTTTTAATAACATCTGCTTCAGCATTAGCTCAGATTTCTGAGATGTTCGAGCAGTTGACCATTTAAAACACAATTCGGGGTATTATTCCTTGTTGGGATGTTGGCAACATACTCTTAATCGAATACCCACGTTTTATGGGTGACCTTGGAGGCAGTGTCCACTGTGTGTGTTTGTTATGTTGCATGATCTGTTTCCGGATGTACGGGCGAAACAAAACAAGGAGCACAACGCGTGAAATTATAGCTAGCAAAACTACGAAGCTGTAGTTCCTATACAGGCGCTGTATATTGTGACATGTAGACCCGCTGCTGGGCAACGTCTCGGTAAACACATTCCCGCGACAATGAATACGCAGACAACTATCGGATAACTTTCGTTGCTATGCAACGCGCTGTAAATAGAGGAAGAGGTGTTTTCTATTGAAAAGTAAATGTAGCTTGAAGGGTGATATTATTTTTTTACGGAGTGAACTGGGTGGGTCCAATAATTTAAATGCAAAAAACAGGGATTATGTAAACAGGATTATAAAATTCTGAGCATCCATAATGTCATCCTCAGTTTCCAGCTCCGGGCTATGAAAGAGAATTACATCGCAGTTAGTTATAATTAATTTTATAATATATATGCAGAGTATAAATGTCACAATAATTTTATTTTCCAAACTTCATAATATTAACAAATTGTGGGTATGGCTGGAAGATGTTCTATAAATACCTAGTGTGTTCAGAGAGAATGACAAAGCATTAAAAAGAGACACGTTACTTTTTTTTTTTGCGGTAACAGGGTTGTTCGTATATTAGATGACGAACCCTTAACGGCCACAACGCCATCTGTGTCCTGCTTCGCGGTGAGAAGCGAGGGTGAAATGAGAAGCTGTGTTAGTCTCCCTCTGGTCGTCAGGGGGTGTAGTTGTGTGGTACGTTAAGGGTTGATTCGGTAACGTGCTGCTGACGTTAATCGAAGGGAAGAAGACGCACTACAAGCTAATTAAAAATAAAGTGTCAATATTAATACAAATTTTGTAACTAAACGTGCAAACATTGAGTTCTTAAGCGTAGTTTGAAGAGTAAAGTTCTGAAGACAAGTGAAGTGTTCTGTTCTTGACACGGGCTTAAGAAATGTGTGTGTGTTATCAGGTCAAGCCTGCTGTGGTTTTATGTGTAATAAATTATTTGAAGAATTAGATATGTCAGCTTCTGTGAGTATTATGTTTAGTGACATGAACATATGAAGAACACGTGGGGAAAACTTCTGACAGGAGTGTAAACAAAAGAATGGCATATGAAATAAATTATTTATCTCGTTAAAGAAAAATTTATGGACAGTTAAAACAAGTATATTACATACAAATTTATGAAATTTCGAAGAGGTTAATTGATATTAGGAACAACGATTTATACCATATTATGGAGTCTGTATTGTTACTGTCGAGCATAATTATTCTTACAGTGGAGGACAGGAAATTGATCAATGCAAACACTGATATTTTGCAATGTCCAAAATTACGCGATAAGAAAACTTTCTGCAGATATTATTTCAGAAAATTAGATGTGTCTGTCTAGAAAAGTGAAGTAGACAAATGCATACAAAAGTCTTTATAAATATGTAAATACAACCATGTTTTGTACATTGAAAAATCGCAGCCACTCACTGAACTAAAAGCCAAATAGAAACATGAGAATAATAATTAGTCAATAAATCTGTTTTTATCTTTTCCGTCACATTACCTGACGTACACGGGAAAATTGTTTCAGCTTCCAAATATGAAGTCTGGGAAATTAAAATAAATTTCCCTCTAATAAAACATTATAAACGTTTTAAACCCTCACAGAGGGGGGGGGAGAGAAATGAAGCGACACTTATGTGGGGAGAGTGGACGGTAATGGCTTTCACACACTGCTAGTTGAAAATATAAACACATCTGTATGATAGTATTCAGAAAAAAACTATGTTTTTAAAAAATGATAATATTTTTTTTTCATGTTTGACGTAAAACCGAGGAAAATGCAGGGGTGAATTAGTAGGAAAAGAAATTTAAATGAAAGCTATATAACTGGTGGCACTGTTTTGAAGAAGTAAGTTGTGAGTTCGTGAAATAAAGCAGTTTAAAGAATACAGTAAACATGAAAATAGCAGGTTCCTGTTGGCAATTCTTGAAATTCTGTTAATGCATAGGAAAATTACGTTTCGAAACAGTCTAAGCGTTATATAATTAAAATCCTATCATCTTTGAAGACTGGATTCGTTAAACTTATCATTGTATTTCTCCGAAAATATCGAGAAAATTATCTGAAATATGTGGAAAGAAATAATTACAAAAAAAAACTTTACCAAATCAACTGTCGTTGAAGACAGCTTCAGCAACTTAGAACAAATTATACTGTTTTATATGTGTGAAAAATAAATAAGATATTAATTCAACATCACTGAAACGTTGAATTCAAGCAAATAATCTGTTTTTCTCTCATTTAACTTATATATTGGTGAGATAATTCTACAGATAATGACCAAAATTTAACACTAATTTCTAAAGGATATTTTAAGAGCAGGTATTTTAGTTGACGAATATTTTGCTATTCCAGAGTAGTAAGGATTCTTCACAGTAGATGGCAGTGTATGTCAAACTCTACACACGTGTCCAAATAATTGTGAATACCCTCGTTTAGCTGCAGATAACGAAACGTGTACTTAGCGCGCACTTGATTCAAATTAAGGATCCTTGCGCAGATGTTCATAAAAGGACTGACGTCCTTTAATAATGACGTCCTGACATAATTTAACGAGTGGAATGTCTACCAAATACAGAACGAATATCAATAAGGTTATAATACTAAACACATTGTTTTCTTGACTGTGGCGCTTGCTTCTTTAACCAAGCGTAACTTTCAGTAACTCACCACAATACATATTTGCTAGTAGCGTTATGCTTCTCATAACACGTGTAAGCTGTAATATTCTCCTACACATCATTAACACATCCTTTTTAATGGAGATGTGACGTGGTCTGTAAGAGCTACGAACTTAATGTTATTTAAACGGGTTTAGGAACAGAAGACTGAGAATTCATACTCGCTGAATATACCGATTTAATCAACTGCAAAGAATGCGTGACAATTGGACAAATTAAGAACTGATATTTAATCAATTGCAAAGAATGCGTGATAAATGGACAAATTATGAACTGATATTTAATCAATTGCAAAAAATGCGTGACAACTGGACAAATTATGAACTGATATTTAATCAGTTGCAAAGAATGCGCGACAATTGGACAAATTAAGAACTGATATTTAATCAATTGCAAAGAATGCGTGATAAATGGACAAATTATGAACTGATATTTAATCAATTGCAAAGAATGCGCGACAATTGGACAAATTAAGAACCGATATTTAATCAGTTGCAAAGAATGCGCGACAACTGGACAATTTAAGAAGTGATACTGAATAAGGTAATAAACACTTCAACGAGTGGAATATTTGTGTGTCGTCGAGACTGGGAAAAGTAATTTTGAGGACAGCTCCTCTATTTCTCTCTGGAGATGCCGACGTGTTTCTTGCCATTGCAGACATCAGGTCATGACCTGGGCAGGGCTGCAGAAGGCAGTGACGGCCGTGACGGCCCGGCTGATAAACAACGCAGCAATGCCGACGAGGACTCCGAAGCCAGGTGTGGGTGGTGCTTTTTCAGACCACTGTTCCTGCAGAGATTTCGGACAGCCAAATGGGTTCTCTTCTGGCTGTGCTGGGCGGGAGCTGTCCAAGGTAAGAAACTCTGAATTCTAACATTACTATGCCTTGTTGGCATTATGCGCATGCGTCGTGTCCATCCGTCCTGGTGTTTATAATAACCGAAACTACTCAACTGAAGTGTCAAGCTCACCACTCATCTTCTTGTAGTGCCGAGGTTAAGACTCATACATAAATACCTCCACTCCCCCATACGTCTTGATGGCGCGGTGCTCAATTAATTGAGGACATGGACAACTTTACGTTTACCCCATTATACAATATGCAAGTGTGTCCAGATTCAATGGTTAAATTTTTATCAGCATTACGGCAAAAGTTTAAGACAACGATATGGGATACACATACAGGCATACAGGGATTTAAAGAGCATCAAGTGCCATTATATACATACCGAGTTGCATAAAGATTCGTTACGATGCTACAAGAAGGAAAGTCGCGGGTTAGATTCCTTATGAGGTCACTGGATTTCTCAATTGACCTAATCCTTCCAGCCGCGCTATGGCCCTTGGGTCTACTGGGCCTCTAACAGAAATGAGTAGCAGGAATCTTCCTGGGGGGTAAAGGGCGGCCGGCGCGTAATGCTGACAACATTACAGCCATCTGTGAACCGATTGTCTAGCTAGATAATGTGAGAGTCTCCAGAGATAGCTTTACCATAAAGATTGGTTCCTGATCACAGAAGCCGCGCGGTCTAAAGCATGAACTGTCTTCGCTCGCTCGATCGCCGGGATCGTTGGTTCGAATACCGCTCAAGGCATGGATGTCTGTGTTTGTGCTGTCACGTGTGTAGGTAGAGGTCTTCCGACGTGCTGATCCCCCGTCCAAGGAGTCTTACCGACTGTGTATAGGATCAATAAACTGAGAACGCGGCCAAGGCCCAAAAAGGGCTGTAGAGCCATAACAATATTAAAAGATTTGTTAAAGCATTCAAAAGTTAATGAGGGGAGGGGGGGAATATAAATACAGACAGCATGATAACCTACTTTTATTTTTTCCCCCCAAATGAGGAGAGCTGGCTAAAATTCGGATGCCCTCGCTGTGGAATATCCCAGGATGACATAATAATGAACACGAAATAATCAATGTGCTGTAAAAAAAAAAGCAAAATAACTTGTAACTACTGGAACACGTCTTTACGCTTCGTTGTGTAGTGCATTTCATGTCTTCCCCGTAAAAGCGTTGTCATTTCAGGGTCTTCTACGAAGACTCTCAATTGTGATGTTACCGTTACCATAGTTACCATACGGGAAGTCGGATTTGTTTTGTTACCCGTTTCCTTAATTCCGTCTCTAATGAACGTATCTGTTTAGCAATTGCATGCACGAGCTAACAGTCAAGTGCCTCCCATGCAATGGACTCGCTCTGAATATCCTGAAGAACCAAATTGTAACGTGTCTTCCTTTATGAGTTGCCAACTGCTCTACCGGTACGCTGACTTTACTTAATCCCTTCACCTTACTCCCTTGTGTCTAAGGCTTTTTTCCCATTTTGATCATTTTACAGACGGTAGGACTCCTTGGACGCGTGATCAGACCGTCGCGAGAGTATCACCTAAACACAGGATAACAAAGACACAGAATAAATATATACACATACCAAACATGCCTGGTATGGGATTCGAACCCACGATCCCTGTTTTCGGGCGAGCGAAGGCAGTACATGCCTTAGACCGCGCAGCTACTGTGACCGGCAGTGTATAAGAATAATATATAAGAATTCAGTCCGTACCTCACAGGAAACAGATCCGAACCCACGATCCCGGCTTCTGAGCAAGCGAAGACAGTTCATGCCTCAGACCGCTCGGCTACAGTGGCCGTCCTGCTCTACCAACCCGGATGGTTAATGGAGAGTCCAAGGTTTCGGGATCACCACTGAACACAATGAATGAACTCCATATGTATCTTTGAAACTTATTTGCAACGTGTCCTTTTCCATATTACACACCTGTCTCTCTGAAATTCTCCTTCCTTGATGATTTTCAAAAATATTTTTTTATCTTCACCATGAATTGTACATGGCCGGTCACTGTAGCCGAGCGGTCTAAGACATGCACTGTCTTCGCTTATTCGGAAGCCGGGATGGTGGGTTCGAATCCCGCATGTTTGGTATGCGTTTATTCTGTGTTTATGTTGTCCTGTGTTTAAGTAGAGACCTTGCGACGAGCTAACGACCCGTCCAAGGAGTCCCACCGTCTGTAAAATGATCATGAAACTTAAAATGACGGGCAGGACCCAAGGGGGCTGTAGAGACAATGGAGAAAAATGTATGCTGCATGACCCGCTCACATGCGTGTCCTCAATTTATTAACACTAAATATATTGGAAGAAGAGTATGAATTATGAAACTCCGGCACAAAAATTTTTACAGAGGGGAAATTGTCTTAACTTAATATTTATTTAATGTCATAGCTAATACCTCAGAATATATTGCGTCTAATGATAGAACAATTAGCGAACAAGAAGTTCGTGAGTACGTCAGTGGACACGACTGTGTCCTAATGTCCAGTACTATCCCAGCATTTTTGGAGTACCTGAGGCAAATCACAAAAAACACAGGACGATTAAGAGTTCCGACCAAGGTTCTAGCGATATACTTCTCGAATATAATTCAATAGCGTCACTATTTGAGTAAACGTTCTTCTAAATACTATAACAGGTACGAAAGAAGGCGGATGTTGACTGGTCTGGTGGAGAGTCGGTGTGTGGCTACATACGGATGCAGAGAGAGATTCCGCCATCTTGCTTTTGTGCGTGGAGCTGGGTGACGGAAGATATTTTACGTTGTAGCGAAAGAGGAAGTAGGAAAACTAATTTAAATAAGTAAATGTCGGAATTGAGTCGAAGAGATCACTTTTAAGATAATTAAGTGTAACAACAGACACTTCATCACACAGATATCTGAGGAAAACGGCCGCGAGAAATGGAAGTGACTTCAGTCAGAAACAATACTAATGGCAAGTGAACAGCATAAGAGCGAGGTGGCATGTCGCTAATACGGTGCACTTGTATTCGGGAGGGTTTCGGTTTGAATCCCGCCCGGGACTGATTATAATCCTTCCTTATGTTTTTCATAGTCTTCCTCAGTCCCTCCTGACGGGAGGCTGGAGAAAACTGCATAATGAGGAGCTCCATAACTTGTACTCTTTACCAATTATAAATAGAACGATCAAGTCAAGCAGGATGAGATGGACAGGGCATGTAGCAAAAATCGGGGAGGAGAGGAATTCAAATAGGATATTCGTGGGATGTATATAAGGAAACAGACCACTGGGAAGACCAAGATGTAGGTGGGTAGACAATATTAAAATTGATCTTAGAGAGATAGGATGGGATGGTGTGGATTGGGCTGATCTGGCTCAGGACAGGGACCAGTGGAGGACTCCTGTGAACACGGTAATGAACCTTCGGATTCCATAAAATGCTGGGAAGTTCTTGAGTAGCTGCAGAATTGGCGGCTCTTCAAGAAGGGCTTAGCTCCATGAAGTTAGTTCCTCGGTACCTCTAATTAATTTCCAGGATAGTACCTCTATTAGGTTATAACCTCTTCCTTCCAAATGGTCCCCGGTTCATCACGGATAAATCATCCCAACATTTGGTCCTATGTAGATAGAAAGGTAAAGCTATCCCTGTAACACACCGTGGAGGCCCATAGGATTGTGAGACGTCGAGGCTCCCACATTTTCTAGCCAATCGGCTCATAGATGGCAGTGAGGTTGTCAGCCCTACGCGCCGGTCGCCTTTTACCCCCAGGAAGATTCCTGGTACACAATTCTGTTAGAGGCTGAGTCGACCCCAGGGCCATAGTGCGGCTGGAAGGATTACGTCAATTGAAAAGAATCCAACGACATTGGGAATCGAACCCGCGACCTTCCGTCTTGTACCATAATGCCTCAACTAACTACGCTACCGCGTGCCCCTACATGCATGGGGAAGATAGTATTAAAATTAACCTTCGGAATTAAAATGGAAGTGATTCAGGATATTGACCACTTGCAAGATACGTGATTGAAATCGTGCAGATTTCTTTGTGGTGATTCGTATGTAGAAATGGGCATGAAATTTGATATTATTTTTATTGTTATTATTATCAGCACGATAATGACCATCATCATCATATTCGCGATGTTCAACTTCGTGTAAAGTCGGGCGTGTCAGTTGGCTATAAAGAAGTAGGTCTAATACGCAATTTCGGCTTAGCATGTTTCTGTGACATACGGCAATGATTTCCAGCTTCGTCCTATTTAATTAATACTCTTTTTTCTTTGCATTTATTTATACGTAAAATTAATTACAGCGCCCTCCTAAGTCATGTTTTTGTACGGAATACTAAATAAAGTACTGCAACACAAGAAAACAAATTTAATTTGAAGATTTTATGAGAGACAGTTTAGACGAAACAACGCTTCTCTTCCAGACATACTGACTAAACAGGTTCGAAACGGGACGTGAGTGAGATAAACCCCACAATTTTAAATGAACTTTACTCAGAAGGGTGATGTTCAGCTTAAACGAGTTTCACATGCAAACGTTACCAAAAACAAAACAAGAACGGTTTTAAAGGGAAAAAGAAATGAAGCTACTGGAGGGGGTAACAACTTTTCGACTTAATTATCATCACTAAATTGTAGCTTGCAGATACAAAAGTATAGGGCCAGGTTGGTGATATTGTCACGTATCCGGGATTTGCGTGACTAATAAGACGGGTTTTGAATTGCATCTTTATACAACTGGTTACAAGAGTTCATGAACCATTATCTGACATACTGTCATATTCTTCCGACTGGACACTCCACGGGAACTATTCTGATTTCCAACTGAACTTAACTGAACTGTCAAAGTCAAAGTCACATTGCGACTGACGGTCAGTCAGTCAGTCGGTCATTAAGTCATGGTGTCGAGCCCTAGATAGTTATGGCCTCGTTTTTGTGGGGTACCCTCTTTGACGAGAGGACGGGTCTGTCAATTGTACATGCTGCTGGCTCTTCCCAGCGCAGTCTTTCTCGTGTTCGAGTCCCT